ATAAAGTATCTCATTACACATTATGGCATAGTCACATTGTTTTTGCAAAACACTTCTCTGTTTGCTTGAAACACTAATATCTTTGTTTTTTGTTTTTGTTTTTCCTGACAATACTCTGTTGATAGTTATTAGGGCTTTTCAAAGCTAATATTAGTATGTTCACTCTGTTTTTACGTAAGACATTGATATTTCAACTTATTACATATTTAAATTAACTGGCAGCTAGTCAAGTAGGTATAAAAAAAACAGGAAAGACTTGAGTTTTCCTTTGCAAGTCACTGCTCTAATTGAACTGTTGGAAATGTCAAAATCATGTAAACTGAGAAAGGCACAATTGCAGGTAGAAATATGTGTTGCAGCAGGTACAGTCTCACATTCATCTTGAATGTTAGGCAAAAAACACAACTGATGGTGAATCTCAAATTTTGGATCATAAAAATGATGCCCATGGCCAGTGAGGGTGATCAAATCGGGCACACAAAAACAGACAGATTCTGCAGCTGGTAATGACATACTGATCATTTCAAACAAACCAGTGTTTGGGACTCCAAGTTGATAGCTAAAATTAATTTGGGGCATTTCTATTTAAACAAATTAAGTTGTAGAAAATTTAAAAAACTTTTCATAAAACAAACAAAAAAAAAGAACACAGCACATGTAACATATTATTAGTATGGATATTAAAATAACTAATTATGAGTAATTAATTAATGAAATCAGATCAGAAAAATCAGATTCAACTGCTGGAGGGAGTGGTAATTTGTAAAAACACCCCTACAACAAAATACCGCAAAATTAGTGAAATGTATAAAATGATATTTACAATATATACAGACAAGTTGTTCAGATAGCTCATAAAATCCCAGAGATGTTTTTCCCCCTTTTTATCCAAGACAATATTTAACTACCTTGATGGAGGTGAGAGTTATGATGGCAAAAGATCCAATTCAGTTCGGTTCAGTCCAGAGTGAGGATGAAAGTGTGGTATGGTTTAGCTCGCCAGTCTGGTCCACTTGGCAACAGACAACCAGAATCCAGGATGTGGAACTGGACCTGAAACAGGAACCTGATAATCAGCCCTGGGTTCTGTCAATATCAAAAATTATTCTGTATTATACATGTATTTGTCTTTTCTTTCTTATCATGCCTATAGTAAATAACTTTATATTGTAGAGAGAATTAAACTCATGTGGAAAAACAATATTCATTTTTAAATTTCAGCATACAATATGAACAGTGTTTCATAATTCAAAGTGTTTTCAGTTTAAATGCATCACGGTAACAAAACAAGTTAGTTTACAGAGCCCAAACAATAACCAGGAGGCTAGCGGTAGCATGCTAGCTCCCAAAAAAACAAAACAAACACCAGTTCCCTCTTGTCAAACCGTGTGATCAGTGAAAGGTTTTGTTCCCACGACCACACATCTAAACGTTGAGAGGCATATCAGTGATAGACAGCAATACGAGCATTTGCTAGAGGCTTACAAAGGCCTCGAAGCCTCCCTGACAGCGACGGACAGCGTCTCCCGCCGAGCCCGTGAGCAGCTGTCATCAGAGCAGCAGCTGTCTGTGGGCTCTTTGCACATCAGCTTCCGCGTTCGGGGATAAGCGGCTCGATCGAAAATGGCATTTTACACTAGGTGCTTGCAAGGCAGCTTAAGCCAGGTAACAATTAATGATGTGCTTCCTTCCAAAGCCCCAACAAGTAAGCTGGAGAAAAGTTTAGAGATGTACGCGGCTAACATTAACTTTAGCTTATGCTAGTAGGTAAGATTCTTGGACATTTTCATGATAAAAATGTGCTATTTAAGTATCTAAACATTTTAATAAATTCTAATAGACAATGTTTTTACCTTATTTTGTGTTTGTTGTCGTTAGTGTCAAACAGAGACCAAGTAATGGTGACGGAAATTTAAATTTCTTTTTTTTAAATAAACCTTAAATAAAAGTGAATATAACAAATGGAATATATATATATATATATATATATATATATATATATATATATATATATATATATATATATATATATATATATATATATATATATAAGTGAAATTTCTTCTTTTTTTTAATAAACCTTTAAATAAATAAAAGTGAATATAAAAAATGGAAATTATATATATATATATATATATATATATATATATATATATATGTATATATATATATATATATATATATATATAATATATATATAATTCCATTTTTATATATTTTTATATATAAATAAATAAAATATTCACTTTTATTTATTTAAAGGTTTATAAAAAAAAAAAGAAGAAATTTCACTTGTCCACCATTACTTGGTCTCTGTTTGACACTGGCCATGGGCATATATATATATATATATATATATATATATATATATATATATATATATATATATATATATATATATATATATGATATAACAGAATACATGTGTTAAGACAAAAAATAAAATAAAATAAACTGTGAATGATTTTCACAGTACAACAACCGATATTTCTTGGAAAAAATAGTTTCTGTCTAATATGTTGTCAAAAGATTAATCCTAGAGATCACCCAAATCATCAAAGTTGTTCTTCATTCCCATGAGGAAAGACCCCTTTGGCCAAAACAAATGCTGCACAATATGATGGCCACATATTACCCACCTGGTGCCAGGAGATATAGCATATTGTGATTAATGGGTAAAAGCAATCCAGCAATAACATAATAAGTAACATGGATAATTACCAACAAAAACAACACAAGAAAATGCATAGTGGGAGATTAGGGTGGAAAAGCTTGCACCGTTAGGCTCACATGCAGTTTCGTACTAAAACAGAAAGCAGATCCAAAAGAATAAATTGTTAAAATGTGCCTTGCATTCATTCAGGGAAAGGTGGATGCTGTTTGAACATTAAGAGCACAAAATGGGATAGACAAAGACTAGCACCTATGTGCATATATCTCAGGAGACACACCACTGTGTGAAATAATTTGTGTAGTTTGTGTTAAACAGGAGTTCACTTCAGCTTCACTGTCTAAATCAGAAAAAAACTCTGAGATGTTAACCTCTCATGTCAACATATCTTTGGGTCTGTTTTGGTGCCTTCATGAGCTGAAGTATAGTCTCAAATTCAATCTCAGTATGAGAACTGAAGTATCAGAATCTATAAAACCACTGTTTAAATAACAACAACAACAAAAAAAGAAAACACACACACATTCAAGACAGTTTGTTCTGCTGAGGACATATTTCAAACATCACATTAAGACATTGTAGCAGTGAGTGAAAGTTTTTTTTATTCAAGAAAATTCAGAACATGATCATTACGAGAAGGCAACTGATTTCACATAAAGACAACCGAACAGACATATCAAAATCTAAACAATTAGATAAGGATCCAATGTATACAATGCATAGCCATACATCTATCTTCCTCTGTTTTTCTTGATCGATTGGTTGATTGATTGACTGAGCAACATCTCTACATTTGGCCAACAAAGAACTTAGTTTGTGCTTGCACAGTTTTGTTTTTTTGTTGTTTTTTTTTGCTATGAGGCAGAAAGGAAACAATAATCCATTTCATCTTTCCTAAGACTGATAAAAAAAAAATCTTTTAGAGCGATTAAAACCCAGCTAAAAGAATTGGATAAATCTTCTTAAAAAGCAGCTTGGAAAAAATCCAGCATCTGCACTTTTGTTATATATTTTTCATTTCCATTTGTTTGTGGGGTTTGCTTTTCTTTTTATTGAGTGGGTTTACCTATTTATTTAATAAACACAGCTCAGATTTTAATTAGAGCAGGCTTTTAGGATTAAGTTATAGATATCATGATACCCTTTGGATGTTTCCTATCCAGTGGAGACTTGAATGCACTTTAAAGTCAGACACTTGCCATAATTAATCTCATCATTCACACACACAAACATTCCTCAATATCTCAAAATATGAGATGTAAAATCATATAACCAATTCTGATCCATTCACCAATTGATTCATCAATAATTAGTAAATTACATCTTCCATTATCTTTGAATAACTTAAATGAAACTAATGTACCACAAAAAAGCAACAAAACAATCTAACATTCTCAGACAGGTCTATTTTGACAGCGTTACAGTTTTGTAACAAACTGGATGGTTGGTTGGATATGAGCAAAATAAATAAAAGTTTTTTTCTATTATGTCATGTCACAAACAGTAAGTTTAAAATATTTTACTTAGATTTTATGTGATAGATCACCAAATATTCATCCATCCATTTTCATAAACCCTTACCCTATTGGGGTTGGGAGGGGTGCTGGCACCTATATCCAGCTGTCAAAGGGTAAGAGACAGGGTACGCCCTGGAGCAGTCACCCGTCTATCTCAGGAACAGGAAACACTGATTAACAATCGTGAAGTAGAAGAAAAATAATGTTTAGTTTTCAAAAATTTTCAATTTAAAATGATGGTATTTTTTCTTAACTTCCACACTGAATGATGTCTGTACTGTCTGCACTTTTTAAAGTCTACTTTAAAAAGTGTTACCCACATATGCCGTGCGAACTTGGTAGCAAACATCATAAAACTAGACAAAATAACTTTTACAGCACTATTTGAAAGTTTCCGCAAAATACAATATATTTTTACAATGCATTATGTAAAGAAAGAGCTGATTAGGGAGCAATTTTGCTCTCAGTTTTTTGATACTCTGCTAAAATGCAAATAGGCTCTTCTGGCTTATTGTTGTAACAGAATAAGCATGCATAATAGAGAATACTATTGAGAATTTTTTTTAATGAAAGCACATCCTGTTAAATATGGCAGAATGATGGTCATATTACAACAAAAACAGCATCAATTTTAAGAAGTGATATGAAACAAAGAAAACAAATTACAACAAAACATTTTAATAGACATTTTAAAAACACGAGGTATGGCTCTTCACTCTTTTTGTTTAATATTTAATTCAAACAAATGTTTTTGTGTGTGAACATACTAGACAATTTACATGAGAGCAGTTGTTTTTCTTCTAACTCATCAGGGAATTTGCACGTTGGAAGGTGAGAAATACTGCTATCGAGAGAAGGGACCTCATCCGGAACCCCGTGCCACTCATGCCTGAGTTCCAGCGCAGCGTACGCTTGCTGGGCCGAAGACCCACCACTCAGCAGTTTATTGATACTATCATTAAGAAATATGGAACCCACATTCTCATCTCAGCCACCCTAGGAGGTAAGAGAGGTTTACTTGTTTGAATTATTCAGGGCAAGGATTAAAAGTATTCCCACAATTACCCAAATGCTTTTCCCATGGGGTTTGTGGTTTGTATGTATGTGCTCACACAGAGGAAATGCATATTTATCATGTGATAAAAAAAAAAAAAAAATAATAATAATAATAATAATAATAATAATGGGTTCTTGGTGAGGGATTGACTTTTCTGTTCCACATTTGCATGTTTTGATTAAAACATTTTGTACAGTTTGTCTGGGGAAAAAAAACAAATAATAGGTGAAAATTTTTTAAAACTAAAATAGTAAATATAAATGCCTAAAAATAAACACAAAAAGTGCCTTATCCCTATTTGATTATATTGAGTAAATGTGACCTTGCTCTGCTGAATATTTTTTCTAACTGCATCATTGTCAGTGAAGCTCATTTAATTAGTTTGAAGGCAATTTATTGCTCCAAGTTGCAGAGAAACCAAACTGCAGCAAATCACATGAGAGCATGTGAAATAAGCAGAAATCCTCACCTGCAGTCATCCTAAACAGACAGTATAATCTTCTTTAAGTGCAAGGTTTCATGTAGCAAAAAAGTGTGCACTTTTAAAATTCTATGGTTTGGTGTTAATTTAAACATATCCATCTCTTGTGCATGTGAATCCAATTTGACAGTGTATGCTTGATACAAACAATTTTATAATCTGGAGGTCAGATCATATACACAGGTAAACTGCACGTAAATGCATAATTTATAACAGAAAAACAAAACTTTAATGAATTGACTGCATTATATTAATGTTGTCAATCGATTAAAAATATGATCAGATTAATCACACTGGCACTGTGATTAATCACAATTAATCGTTATACCTAACATGGTAAGCTTGCAATATACAAAGTTGTGGTTCTTGCAGGAATTGTGGACTTGGTAAGCTCTTCCTTCTGCTGCACTACAACCATCATCATATTGCTTGATCAAGCTTGATCAATAACGATTAATTGTTAATGTTTTTAGCAATAAATGTCTATGAACATTTATTGCTTTATAGACCAATAACACATTTACTATATATGTAAATATATATAGTATATATTTACATATATACTATATACTTTGTTTTTTTTTGTTTTTCTTGGGCATGGTGACTCTTCTCATTCATGATCATTGTATCTGGCATCTGCCTGCAGTACACAATCCTACTGAAACAACTCTAGCTGTTTTTTTCCTCATGTTCTCAAACCCCTGTACATATTTTTAGCAATTTTGTTCAAGCCACTTAAAATTGACCTATGAATCATTCTAGTTCACAAAAGGCTGGGACACAAAAGACGGCATACTGCTGCACCACATTGTATTCTAACACCGCTGGCTTTATAATATTTTAAAGGCATTCATAAAAACTGAGGCTCAAGATGTTTGACTTTGTAATTGATACACAAAGAAATATAAAATTAGTAGCAATTTATTATTGCGTTGATAAGTCAGTTCTAACTTAATTTTTATAATATTCATCAATAACTAAAATCATCTGAATGCACTATGCATCAAGTGGGGTGATTAAATAAGAGTTCACTTCCTCCTACTCCTTTTTAAACAAAAAAATAGTGGTGGGCCAATTGTTTTGTTCTTGGTTACACACATGCTTTCTCTTGTCCCATTGGTTACTTGTTTTCTTTAATTAAAAAAAAAAAAAGTTTGAAATAAATAATTAAATGCAAAATATAATAGGGTCAGGTGAAATGTAATGACATTCATTATAATTGAAGGACTAGCAAGTGTATTTATTCACTACTAATCATGTGTATGACAATACATAGTGATTTCTATAAATTAATGTATTGTATTTGTAAAATGAGAAAGATTCTAAAAGCATTACATAAACAGAAATAAGTGTTGAAATATAATATAATCTTGTCATGCTTCATCACTTATCAGTAATCAGTCAAATAGTTAATAAGTGAAAGAAAATGCAGAAAATAATAACACTTTCAGTTCCAATTCAGCAACTAACTGTTTCTGAATATGTTAAGAGTTTGAGGGAGTTTGTCCCAGAGCCGAGGAGGATAGAAATAAAATGCCGTCCCAAAAGATCCGGTTCTGGAAACACTTCATAAGCATGGTTTAGAAAGCCTGATGAGACCAGATGAATCAAATTTGACAAGAAACTGAGAAATGTATTTCTGTCTATGAACATCTATTGCTTTATAGACCAACAGCAAAATTTTGCCTGGTAATTAAATAAACAGTTTAGTTTCTAAATCCCACCTGTTCAGGCATGTTGGCAAGTATACCAATAACTGGATCAATGTGGAATAGAATAAATTTTTTTGATAGATGGGCATAGTTTTATTTTGGTACAAAAGTTAAACATCTCAGTTATCCAAGGCTAAATTTAATCTCTTATCTTATCTTGGGCTCTGAGAATGATGCATGAAGGCAGCTAACAGTGATTACTTTGGCAACTACATTTAAAAGATGTGATTATCAAGATAAACCACTCTCTTTATTAAGCTCTGCATTGTGTAATTGTATATATGATAGACTGTTAGACTGTGTAAAATATATCTTATGTCTAAATTGCAAAATCAATGCCTTTCTGCAAATATTCTGAATATTTCATGCACTATTTGTCTCACTGGACTATATACATATATAGTGACTTGTGATGAGAAAGTAGCTTTTTGAGTACAAATTGTGCTAGTACAGTTCTGAAAACACATATATACAAAAAAAAAAAGAATCACTCACAATCTTGATAAAGTTATTCAAATAGTAAAATGTTTGAACAATTATTGTTTTGGATGAACCATGGTCATTTATAACCAGTGGTTGTATACATTTTTTGTAAATAAATAGCTCTTAGAATGATCTTCCAATTATGTACAACTTTACTTGTCTCTTCTTAAAGTTATGTGAACATTTGTGGTTTCCTTCACTTGGTCTCTGTAGGAAACTCAAAAAAAAAAAAATCCAAAGCAAAGCAACATTTCTATGCCTTGAAGAGAAAAATGTATTTTAAATGTATGAGGGGCAGACTTGGGGAAAAATGTATTCCTCAGCTTAAGATGAATGCAAATGTACCCTTCACACTTTTTAAAAAAAGCTATAACCTCAACCATTTATATAGAGGCTTGACTGTTGAAGGACTCCATTATTTTAAATGACAAAAAACAGAATGGTTCTGATTCAAGCTGTAAGTGCACATAATCTACTGCAGATATTTGTCCTCAATTGCTGTGAGAGAAATTTTAATCATTTATATGTCAAACTATTTACGTGCATTTCAGGCTCAGCTTTAGGACTAAGTTTAACCTGCTCAGTGTGCATTTTATTGCAAAATCTAAATCTAATTCTGTCTACACAATGCAAATTATGCCACATATTGTGTGGGCACAGACTGCAGTAAAATGTTGCATTTAAAAATACATCCCTTGATGGCTCATTTGAATAAAACTCACATATTGTATGTGGAAGATAAAATGTTTCAAAAGGTAAAATTGCTTTAGGAAGCTATGATAATTATCCCCCCACAGGTCTTCGAAATATACTGTCAGTGCTCGGAAAAAACAGCAACCTTTTTCTCTTGAATACCTGTTTCAACGGGGACTTACTTGACATCAATATACTATGATATTTGCATAGTTAGGAGTTTCGGTTTGATATCACACATGTGTAATTTTGCTTGTATCTAAACGGGATAAAAATGCTGTGACATGTAATGTCAGCAGTTAAAAAAACTGTCTCCAACATTTCTCAACAATCCAATCTGAGATGCTCGTAAATGCTGCAGAAGCTTGTACAAGTTTCACATAGTCAGCTTGTTGGACTAACAGACATACACTGATAGTGCTGTAAAAACTCTTTGCCTACTTACAGAGTTGTTCACTTTTTCTTTTCATAATAATATATAAATGTTTCTGAACATTATGAAATTTTGGTCGTCAGACAAGCGTTTGCAAAATCAGTTCTTTTCCTCACTTCAAATTAATTTTGACTCATCCCTCTTTGTTATAACTCAGCCACACTGAAGGGTTTTTAAACAAGAATGTCTTTTTCAGGTCTCACCACAAATCTAAATGTAAATTGAAAAAAAACATTTTTTTGACTCAATTATGTTTTTAATAACTTAAATACATTTAAGCTTAAGATCATAAGCTGATGAGTGAATGTTTTCTTCAGGATTTTCCAGTATAGAACATATTTCTTTTACCCATCCTTTATGACAAGTAATCCTGTTCATAAAGCATAAAGCAACAGAGCAGCTCTAAACCATGTTTGAATTATTTTAGGTCAGCGGTGGTGAATAGCATTTTGGTCCTGTCTTTTTCTTCCTGGATCATAAACACTTTTCTTATTTGAAGGAAATGGGGTCTGCAGTGTTTTCGATGTTGTATGGGTTCTTTGTTACTTCCTCTTGGATGAGTTGTATATACTGGCTTGGGAATAGTTTTGTTACGCCAGTCACTCTTGACAAGGTTCATCACTATTTTGTTTTTGCTTCCCATTTCAGTATGGTTTGCTGAGAAAGAGATTGTTCTCTCTGGGTTTGGATGTTTTGCAGCTGAAAATATTTTTGCTCATACTTTGTTTACTTTCAGCGAGTTGTTGTGATGTATAATTTGGCAATACGCTAATATTTGTACAACTGTAGAAGCTGATTAGCATCTCAAATGCTCAAATAATACTAGAACTATGACCCCAAATCCTAAAGGAGTTGAAAAAGGGCCCCTCCTGGATGCAGGGTAGGACCAAATTACAGAGAACAGGAAGTTCAAACCAACTATTTCATCAATCATAATAGGAAAAGATTATGTTCCCCCATTCCAACATATCTCCAAAGGAGAGAAGTGGCAAAACAAAATGAAGTAAATTAGCAGTGCTTGATAACAATTAATGGTGTCACCAAGAGTGTGTTACTGTGAAATAGTGTTTCTATTCTGTATTGAGCATATCATGACAGTCATGATGTTGTCATATAGCAGTCTGCAGCCTCTTTAGATTTGGTG